GAAAGAAAATGACTATACAATGCAGGCACCGAGTGACAGATAATTACCACTTGGAAAATGTTCTTTAAGTAAGAGAAATTAATATACAAAATCTTAATCAAAACGTGATCTCATCCTTTCTGGGTATCCATGTAAGATATTTCTCCAAGGGAATTTTTAAAGACATTTCTACACTTCCTTAAAATGTAGGTGTTGGAAACAAGGTGAGACAGATTATCTTTGTTGTTTGTCTTGTCAAGTAGTGAGCGTCCTGAAAATGAGGGGAAATCCTAACAGTGCTAACACCATAGCACGTTTTCTTCTATTACAAACACAATTTATACCAGAGGTTTAAAAGTCTATTTTCATAGTGAGCATGTGCTAACATTTCTGACTTAGAAATGTTATTTTCCCAAAACTTTAGGTGAGTTGATTCATGAAATTAGTTTCTCAGCTCAAATAGAACAATACTTAAATCTCCTCTTAAGAACAAAAGCAGCACATTATCAACTATACCAAAAAGAAATACAAAGTAAAGAGCTTGCTAAGGAAGAGCCCAGTCCTTGGTTCTCTTAAATTTAACATGTACATCCAAACATTCAAGCACTGATAAAATACTTAACAGACCTATACGCTCCTGGCATAATAACTCCCTCATAAAACAAAATTAAGTTTTCGCACTGCTGCACCTACCTAACAGAACAGCAAATAGGAAAACATTTGGGTTCAGGTCCAGTTGCCTGGCAACTGCACATCAGACACTGGTTTGTCGTGAGACTTTTCCCGTTCCGGCTCAGTTTTGGGGCCCAGCACTGAGATAGCAGGGCTGTCACACAGTGCCTCGTCAGAGTCATATGCAACTGAGCCTTGGAAACCGATCTCTCTGCAGGAGCCGTTCACTTCCTGATGGTGATCCTCCATGTTCTGTGCAACCTATGCAACTGAGAAGAAACTTCATCAGATGTGATGTGGGGTCAAGCTGCAGCAGCGTGCTCAACAGGCAGGCATGCTCGTACAGAAGCTAAAAATCTGCAGATGTGAGAACCATCCAACAAAGACAGTCAAAGAGCACTGCAATAATATGTGTGGCACGTGCTCCTATAAGAAATCTCCACGGGAAGTCAGAGTTCGGTCATCTCCTGTCAGTAACTTCTGACCCCATCAAGAACTACACATTAATTTTTGATTCTCGGCAAGCTCTAAGATCACCCTGCTTGAAAATACACAAAGCTGAGCATTTGCCCTGTGACAGTATTTTGAAAGAGAGGGAAAAAGAGACAGAAGAGGAAAACAAAAATATGGGAAGGAGGGACACAGGGAGAAGCCACCCACCCTCAGGGCAACCAAAACAATTTCTCCTAAACAGACCAAGTGTGTCAAGTAGGTAACATACACAGGACGCGTAAAATGATAAAAGCCACACATTGTCCCTCACCTGCCTGTCCTCTCACTCCCACCCTGCTGAGGCACTCAGCGTCTAGGGCTGTGTGAGGACGCACCCTCACCCTGAGATGACTGCCACGGGTCCCATACATAGTGTGTCCCACACACAGTGTCAGGATGGCCATTTGGACTAGGTCTAAGTGGACCGCCTGTTTAGCGATGGAAACTAGAAGCTATAAGGAAACTTTACATCTGCTGCGTTCCCGCAAGGACCTCTGCAGCACATGCAGGAGGCAGCAGAGAAGCCCAGCTCTGCCCTTTTCTGCTCCTGAAGTACACCACGAAGCACTGACAACAGCGTGCTCCTAAAGTGTTTAACATCTGAGACCACGGGTTTCTCTCCAGCTGTTTCCCGTACTCACTCATCCAACTCAAATTCTGGCAGATTTATTTTTTCTATAATATTTAAAGTATTTTAGAGAAAACCATTTTAAACAAAATCAGTGATTCCATTAACAATAGAAAATTAGCGCTCCACAGAGCCTTACTGGATAAAAATGTGTGCCCTTAACATTAAATCTCTAGAGCTACTGTCCAATCTGTGGCTATATTGAATGAAAATTTAAATTTAATTCAAAATTAAGTTCTACCATTCAATGGTCACAGGTAACTAGCGGGTGACATATTAATTAGACAGCACAGATACAAAAGATTTCCATCACCTCAGAAAATTCTTTGGACATAATTGTAGAGTTAACCTCATTTCTCACTGATTTTCATAATAAAAGTGGTTAGCAAATTTTGATGGCAAGTTAGCTATGATAAATTCTCACTGACAAGCAACAACCTCTTAAAGATGCATACATAAAGGGAAAATAACTTCCTGAATATTCACAGTAAATATTCCAATAAAAATGTATTCCAACAACTATGTAAAACTGTGTTTGTGGAGAAACGCCTAAAAGGAAAAAGCAAAAACTGATAAAGTTGAATCAGGATGGAGGAAATATGTTTTTTTTTTAATTCTTTTAAAAGAAAAACATCTAACACGCAGCTGGGGAAGTACAATCGCACCCACACCACACTCTGGCCGCTCCTGGCCACGCCGTCTCTCACAGAGGACAGGGGCACAGCGACCCATCTTTGCATCAAGGGTCAGTGTGGTGCCAGGACCCAGCAAGCACTGAAAGAATAGAAAATTGTCCCATCATCGGGTCCCATTTTGTGGGTCCCCAAAGATTCCTTAAATTATCTGTAAGAATTGATAAGAGACAGCCTACCCAGCAGAACCTTGTAAAGCAAATGTGGTATGCGAAGTCTTCACAGTCACCTCCTCGCTCCGCTCCTAACAGAATTCGCTGTCCATTCAGAACATCTGATTTCAAATTGGCATTAAAAAGCGAAGTGAATGAACTATTAATAATTCACTACAACTCCCATTTACATATGACTAACAACCCCTCAGCCCTCCCCAAAACCACACACAGCAGTAAACAGTTGATCACTAGAACTGATGGCCTGAAACAGAAGATAAAGGAATCGCACCCATGAGCACAAGCTACACACCTGCACAAAGGTGGGAGCACTCCTACCTGGCCCTTCCCACCTCGTCTCCCTCCCCAAAACCACACACAGCAGTAAACAGTTGATCACTAGAATTGATGGCCTGAAACAGAAGATAAAGGAATCACACCCATGAGCACAAGCTACACACCTGCACAAAGGTGGGAGCACTCCTACCTGGCCCTTCCCACCTCAAGTCTCCCTAGTGACAGGAGCATCAAAACATCTGGGCTCCAGCTCTGCCTCGATACCCAGCTTGCTGGGATGACCTGCCCAGTTACCAATGTAAATAAAATCTGATGACTCTTCAATACTAAAATTCTAGTATTCTTCCTCATGTAAAAAATTCATTATGCAGAAATGCAACCTGGGCTGGCATCAACCACCACAAGGATCACAGAGAGGTTGTCCTTCTCGAGGGGCGAATAATGGAAGTGTGGTTCGACAGTTATTCAGTTGGGAGAAATATAAGATCTACCAAACGAAACCACAAAAAAACCCTGAGTGAAAGAGTTCAAAGTTGATGGCCAAGGGGTGGTGGGTACGAGATCAATCTATGCAACTGCCAAAACTCGTAAAATTGTACATCACAAGGAATAAACTTTAATGTGTGCAAATTAAAAAACAAATCAGCCAAGGTGCCAGGGATGCTGGGAGAGGTGTGCAGAAGGACAAATGTGTCTGATCAGTGCTCAAATCACAAATTGGTGGCTCAAAAGCTAATCTTCCCTGGAGCCCTGTTTTGCTTGGCTTGGTATTTTTGAAATGCGATAATTTCAAATAAAATCTGCATTTCTTGAAAAATCTGAAGGTCTGTCAGACTCTATCGTCCTGCACGCTTTTAACATGTGCGCACCCTTGGATCTACTGTGTACGCGTCTGTACCATCTCTAGGCTTCGATAAATTGAGGAATACTACACAGGCATTAACAGGAATTAGAACTGCAAGTGTAAACAAGGCCTGGACACATTCTGCTCACTGGAGAGGGTCTCGGGGTGTGCTACAGCCCTGGTTCCCCAGCCCAAGGGACCCCAGGCCCAACCAAGACCCGGACGGCCTCACCTTGGCACAGAAGCGGATGAGCGCCAGGCGGATGCAGTGGGCCATGAAGAGGGGCGGCGGGAACCAGACCTCGGAGGCGGTGTCCTTGCTCCGGAGGAGGCGAGGACCTGCCGGCTGCGCTGCCGCTGGGCCCTCTGGTGCAGCCAGGCTTTCGCCGCCACCGAAGACGACGAAAAGCTGGATGTTGCCTCTGGAGCAGCCTCCGCCCACTTCCGCCCGGCGCCGCTGTTGGCAGCGAGCGTGCGGATGGCTGCAGGTGGCATCTGTGGCGGGTGGCATCCGTGGTAGGAAGCGAGCGCGTGCGTGGGCGGCGGCGGGGCTGTGGCGCACACGGGCGCGGTGGCCTCTAGGGGCACAGTGACTCTGTCTGGGGAGAGACCTGCCGCCGCCGCCATCTCTGCAGGAAGAAAAATAAAAGGCAGAAATAAAACGGAACCTCAAAAACATGGGGGAGATTAGCAATTGGGCCATCATACATGTAATGGAATCCTAGAAAGGGGGAGAGGAGAAAAACGCAAGCAAAAAGAACACTTCAGATTAATGGCCAAAAATCCTATATTTGATTAGAAAAATTCATCTACACAAACAAGCAGCTCAGCAAGCGATGAAAGCAAAGATATCCAGAATTAGACACATCACAATGCAAATGATGAAAGCGAAAGTTTATGAGAAAATCTGGAAAGCACCAAGAGAAAAACAACTCAAGCAAATATGCAAAACTTATATCCCCCTCTTCCTCCTCCAAAGTAAAAACCCAAAATGAAAACCCCGTCTTTCAAAAGAGAAGGTAAAGACATTCCCCAATACGTAAAGAATTCACAGGTTTGGATTCCTTTACCACAGAATGTAAGCTTGACTTAGCATCTAAAAATTAAACGAACGTAACACAATGGATTAAAAGATTAAAAGACAAAAACAACATGATTATCTCAATAAATGCACAAAAGCTTTTGAGAAAATTCAAAATCCTCTCATTACCGAAGCACTCAACTGAAAATAGAAGGGAAATTTCCTAAAACAGATCAATAGTGTCAAAGAAAACGGGACAGCTAATATCATCCTCAATGGTGAACGACTGAATGCTCTCCCCTAAGTCTAGCACCAGGACAAGACTGTACATTTTTACCAGCTGTATACAACACTGTTTTGGAAAATTCAGCCAGGGCAACTAGACAAAAAAAAAAAGGCATTTATGTTAGAAAAGAAGAAATAAAACTATTTCTATTTGCACATGTATCTTGTATATATAAATCCTATATAATCCTTATATAATCTTGTATATATAAATCCTAAGGAACCCACTGAAAAACTATTAGAACTTAGAAAGTCAGCAAGATTGCAGGCTACAAGTTCCATGTACGAAAATGAATTGTATTTCTTTAGCAATGAAATCCAAAAATAAAATTTTACATAAAATCAGCCCTTTACAAAGCTAATAGGGACTACAGAAATAGCTTGAAAAGAAATACAGCTGGTTAAGACAGATACTTACCACAGAAGGAGCATAAAGCTACTTTCCTTGAAGACAGTCTATCATAACCCACGATGCTTCCATGCTCCATTTGGGACAATATGGTATTCTTGTCTTTTCTGAATCCTTCAAAGGAGGTTTAAACCCTCCCAAGAGAGACTTTATGGCTCGGGCTGGATAGTGCATAAGATGTAGAGGAATTTGAGGCAGTCTGTTACAACAGAAATTCTTAATTAAAATATTCAGAATGTTACAATTGAAATTCTCTTATAGCTAAAACTATAAAACTCCTAGAAGAAAACATGGGAAAAGCTTCATGACACTGGATTTCATCATGATTCTTTGGATATGACACCAAAAACATTAGGCAAAAAAAGAAAAAAATCAGATAAAATGGGCTTCATTAAAATTAAAAACTTCTGTGTATCAAAACAAACAATTGGACTGGCTGGTTAGCTCAGTTGGTTGAAGTGTGGTGTTATAACACCAAGGTTTGGATCTCCAAACCGGCCAGCTGCAAAAAAAAAAAAAAAAAAAAGCAAAAAAAAAAGTTACAATCAACAGAGTGAAAAGGCAACCTATGGAATGGGAGAAAATACACATAAAGAGACACTTCGCCAAAGAAGATAAATAAAGGGCCAACAAGCACATACAAAGATGCTCAACATCACTTATCATTAGGCAAATGCAAATCAGATCCCTAATAAGATACCACCTTGCAGCCATTAGGATGGCTACTATCCAACCCCCCAGAACAGAAAATGACAAGCACTAGTGAGAATGTGGAGAAACTGGAATCCTTGGGCTCTGTTGGTGGGAATGCAAAATGGTGCAGCTGCTGTTGAAAACAGTACGGTGGTTCCTCAAAGAACTAAAAATAGAATTACTGTATGACCCGGTATTTCCATCTCTGGGCATATATCCAAGACAATTGAAAGCGGGTCTCAAAGAGATATTTGTATGCCCATGTACACAGAAGCATTATTCACAAAAGCCAAAAGGCAGGAGCAACCCAAGTATCCACTGACAGATGAAGGGATAAACAGAATGTGGTATATATACATACAATGCAATATTATTCAGCCTTAAAGAGGGAGAAAATTCCAACACACTAAAACATAAATGAATCTTAAAAACATTGTGCTGAGTAAAATAAGCCAGTCACGAAAGGACAAGTACTGTTTGATTCTACTAACGTGAGGTACCCAGAGTAGGCAAATTCTCAGAGACAGAGAAAGTAGATTACAAGTCAGCAGGGCCCGGGACGGATGGGTAGGGTGCTGCTGTTTGATGAGCACAGAGTTTCTATCGGGGATGATGAAAAGTTATGTAAATGTAAAGTGCTATTAGTTGCACAATACTGTTAATGCACTAAATGCCAATTAATTATACTCTTACAAATAATCAAAATGGTAAATTTTATGTATGTTTTATAATAAAAATCTAGATTTTAAAAATCCCTACTATTTAAACAAAAAGCTTTAAAATATAAAAGCTTTAAGATAGCTTGTTTCTTTTAAAAGAGGTGGCAAAATGTTCCCAGTAAAGAATTACAAAAACCCAAGAAACAGAAAACAAAACTAAGAATCCTAATTTAACTGAGTTGTTTTTTTTTTTCTTTCTAACCTGTTTACAAATAGCTTTTCAGTTGACCCATAACCAACAAATTGTGCCCGGACAGATAAAGGATTAAATTCTTTAATGGAAACAATCTTCACTCTATACCATAAACCATCATCACAGTCTGCAAGGCAAGGCATTTCTGGAAAGACAGAAAAGGGGGAAAATCATAATATTGCCTTTTGTTTTCTTAAACATGTTCTTATGATTTTCTTTTAATACAGAGAAGTATAAAGAAAGTGTAACCACCATATGCCCACAATCCAGAATTAAACACTGAGCAGTTGGCCTCACGCTGGCTTCTCCTCTTTTTCTGTTTATATTTTATAAACCTTTCTTTACCAATTGCTAAGGATTAAGCTTTGGAGAAAGGCACTTCTCCCACTCTCAGAGTTCCTGGTTCTTCTGCTTCTCATGGCTCAGATCATCCTACCACTGCCCCCATTTCTTATGCTCCCAAATCTCTTTTAGTTTGGGCTGTCATCTTTTGCAAATGGCAATCAATACGGTTTCTGCTGTTCCTGCCTGCAGTCCTGTCTTCCTCTCCATTCTCTGTAAGACCACCAGAATTAAACAAATTCAATTACATTACTCTCATTTAAAATTCTTCAATGGCACCTTAACCACCTGTGATATCAAGTCCTTAGTCCTGCAATTTGCAGAGTGCTTCACCATCTCCCAAACAGGCCCCACCACACATCCTCAGTTCTCGAAGTAGAACTACTTAAAACCTTAATGCCTGTACTTTAGCTCAGGGATATCCCCCCATCTAGAATGTTTTCCTGAGCCCTTCCTTTCTACTCTCCTTTCAAGGCTCAGCTCCAGCATGATCTTCAAAAGCCCTGACTACGAAGTGCCCACTGCTTTCTCTGTCATCCTGTGGCACATGCTCACTCCTTTAACATGAGCTGCTGTTTTCACACTGTGCTTGGCCTCTGCTCTGCTAGGACACTTGTTCTTCAGTGAAGAACTGTATTTTGTATCCCTAGCATGGTACCAGGTACAGGCAAGTGCTCAGTTAAAAGTGCACTCATGAATTCCGGACTTGAGTAAAACTGGAAAACTCTGCTAGTACGTACTTCCCTTCTCCTCCCACAGGCTGAGATTTCAGAGCATACGGGACAGGCCTGTTTGCCCTCTTGCTCTCTCCTTGCTGCCATGCTCTC